AAACGTTCTATGGCCTCTTGTTTTTTGTCGGCAGAGGTGCTGATGACAGTAACCCGAAGGCTTTGGTGTACTTGACAATTCCTTACGATTATGAAAAAGATATGATAAACCAAAATCAGTTTCACTTACAAAATCAGCCCAAATTGTTTTAATTTTCTCTTGAAAATTAGCTTCAAACTCAGCCTGTTTTTAAAAATCATGCCTGAAGGGTTTAGTTTTCTTTTGTAAATCAGCTTCGACATCAGTTTCCTTTAAAATTTCTGCCCCCAAAGTTTCACTTTCTTCATAAATATGAGCTTTACAAGTCCTAAATTCAGCCCCTAACTCATTTTCTGTTTCAAACTCACCTCTTAAAGCTTCAGTTTTATCTTGAAAATTAGCTTCACAACCATATTCATTTGAAAAATCAGTCCCTAGAGCTTCAGTTGTACCTTGGAAAACACCTTCAAAATCAGATTCTTTATGAAAATTAGCCCTAAAAGTTTTCCCTTTCCTTAAGGATCAAGTACAAAATTAGATTCTCTTTCAAAGTTTGTTCTAACAGTTTGCTTTTGGTAGTGAAAATCAAATTCCAAATCAAATTCACTCCCAACGCACAAAGCAACAAAAACAACAAAGCCAGAGTAATCCCACAATTGGGGCACGAGAAGGTAGGATATACATAGGCATAAACTCTACCCACATAACATAACATATAAAACATCCAAAGCCGCAGCAGCTACAAACAACAGGCAAACCAGGTAGATTCAAACGAATAACATGAGTTGTTGCCCGAGCTAATGGAAAATCAGTGGAATCACATCCAGCATTGAATCACAAATCTAGATATGGAATGATACACACCCTAAATCATGACAAAAAAAGCACCAAAATTCGGAGGAAAACAAAAGCATAAACCTGGGATTTGGAGTCTCAACCTTCCGCTATGAACAGTAAATTCGAGACAACCAATCGCTCAAATCATTGGAATCTTAACATGGATTGGAAATCTAGTTTGAGATTCAAAGAGAGCTCCCATATTCGCTAGTGAGTCCCCAAAACTTCCGCTCCATTTTAGCAAGAAGATGGCCAAATCCGATTTCAAAATTTTGCCGATAAACGATGTCCAGTGAGCCGTTGACCTTCAATTCTTACATATCTGACCAGGCAAATCACCGATTGAACTCTAATATGGATTCCTTTGTTGAGGGCGAATCCATATGTTCAAAAATCTCAAGAATTGAGCATGAAATCAAGGAGAAAGCAGCGGATTTGGTTGGGCGTGAATAGTGAAAAATTTATGGAAAAGGGCAGAAAAAGGTTGGAATTTATGAGAATGCCCTCCTATATCTAACAGAGATTCGCGTGAAGAAGAGAAGAAGAATTCTAACCAAATTCGACCCAATTCGACGTATTTGACTATTTTGACCAAATTCGACCAAAACACGGAATTTTTGTTTGGAATACATGGTGTATTCTCCTCCATCAATTAATGACTTTTAATCCGTTATTGTCTCAGCCCTTAAGTGAAGAATTTTGCGAAGCAAATGGCTTTGTAGAGGGAAAAACAGATGTCACTCTCATAGGA